GTCTGATTGGATAACAGCAAGACAACTCTTCTACTGCCCAACAAAATCTCCACAAATCAATCAATCAATCAATCAATCAATCAATCAATCAAATTTTATTTGTATAGCACCTTCTACAACATTATCCGAAGCCCAAGGTGCTGAACAACATCATTAAAAGAAAAACATTCTCAATAAATGGGCATAAAAGCAGGATAAAAACATAAAATCATAAAATAGCAAGCAAACAGCATTACAGATAAGAGATATTGGAATAAGACCAATCGATAAAAAAAAAACAAATGTCGGACAAAATAAAATCAAGCATCCGGTTTAAAAAGAAGAATAGTTAAAACCATAATGTTAGGGCAATTCAAGTGACCCTAGCGCTGAAACGCAATCAGATAAAAATGAGTCTTTAAACGAGACTTAAAGACTTGAAGGGATGGTGCCTGCCTAATGCTCAGTGGCAATTCGTTCCACAGAGTTGGAGCCAAAATAGAAAAAGCACGACTACCCCTCGATCGAAATTTCGACCGGGGGACCACCACAAGCCTGAAGGAGTTCTGCCATATTTGCGGAGCTGCTAATTGTTGTTAACGGTTAGCTGAGACGTGCTCTGCTCTCTCCCAGACGCTAAATAAACAACAGCCTTCCCTTTCGCAAGCCAAGATGGGTGAGTCCATGAATGTTAACTCATTCACTGCCAGTGCTTCCTGATCAGAAAGTTTGCTGCATATGTAGCAGACATACAGTCATTCAGAGGGTTTCCTCCTGTTACAGAGTGGATTTTATACTTTTATTGCAAGCATGTGTCACGATGTAAGCCAGAAGGAGGTTAGGACCCAAGATGCAGAACCAGGATGACACAAGGCAGGAGAAGTAGAAAACGTATAATCCTTTATTTAGGAATAATTGTCCAAAAGTTAAATCCAAAAGGACAGGTAGCCAAAAACCTGAATCCAAAAATCCTAATGTGCAAACCTAGAGACCAAGAGACCAGGAGGGGGAAACGAGACAACGCTGACACAAACAATAGACCGACAACACATTGTGACGCAGACAGGGTTATGTACACAGAGGGAAACAATCAGGGAAACAGGTGACAGGTGTGTGGGGAGTGAGACCAGGTGAGACAAATTAACTGAGTGGGGAAAACTGACTAGGTAAAATTAATCTACAGAGAACTAAAGATAGGTGAACTAATAAACCTGAAAACTAGACACCAGAAGAAACACACTAAAGCCTGATTTATGCTTCTCCGTCTGCGTCAGTGCGGAGACACGCAACGCCATTATCCGTCCTTGCGTAGGGCTCCAGCAGGCACGCAAGTATGTACGGAGTCGAGCCCACTTTTTTAAACATCCGTTGAACAAGACGGATTATGCAAGCTTGTGATTGGTCAGGACGCCGCTGTTGTTTACAGCGCCGCCATTGCAAAGAGAGCCGAGGATAACTAGCGGCAGACACGGAGAAGCTTGAAGAATGCCTCGCGAAAAAACTCTAAAAATATGAACGTTTCATTCTCCCGTGACTGGAGGAGTGAAAAGATGCGCAGCAAGCGTTTTATTTGTGGACGGAAATGACAGGAAACGTGGGTTTAGAGGTGGGGAGCGCATGAAGCGGTGGGAGAATGAGAGACAAATATGTCCGTGTTAAAAGTCTCTTATATACACAAAAAACACAATATAAACACACGATCTTGGACGATACATGACAGGATACCACAGAACAGCGCTACGCCCTCTGTGGTCCTGCCGGGCAATTGCTTTGCAACGCTCCCCAGGAGACGGAGAAGTAAAAGAGCAAAACGCTTCCGTCAATCCGTGCGTGTCTGTCCCTTGCGGAGCTGACGGAGAAGCATAAACCAGGCTTAACAGGGATGGGATAACTAAATCTGAAATCACTAAGGGGGAACCTGAGGGAAACCTGGAGGGAGCTGGACACCTAAAGGGCCACAGAAACCTAAGGGGAACACCTGGAGTGAGCTGGAGAACACAAGGAGACACATGAGGAACACAAGGAGACACATAAGGGGCACCTAGAGAGGGCTGGAGAACACAAGGAGACACACGAGGGGGACGCAGGACGCAGAACATGACAGCATGCTGCAGAACCTGGGAGACCGAGGATTAAATTGCACATTTGATATGTTTAATTAAACTGGAAATAAGAAAAGATTGAATCTAATAAGTGATAAATAATCGGGTTACAGTTACAGGCTTGTGCCTGTCCAACCTTCATACCATCAGATCAGCCTGATCTTCATTTACTCACGTAACCTCCCCTTTGAGCATCGAGGGATAGATACAATCTAGTTTAATATGATGCAAAAATATGATCAAATTTCAAGCACTTCACAAAATCACATCACTCAAGAGGAACTATTAAAATAATTAAAAACGTAGTTCTTTGCTTATTAATTAGATTATTTAACATCCCTACTGGGAGTGGTGTATAAATGAGTACCTCCAGGGTGAAATGATGGTTATGTGTTTTAATTATGTGAGTTTTTAAAAGAAAGATCTATCATTCTAATTTAGACAACTTGTTTCTGGAAGCATTTTATGACATGTGCAGATCTGAGATCAG